ACGAGGTGGATCCACCCTCTGCTCAGATTTATTCAATAAAAGTTTTTCTGCACTTATTTATGAACATTTCATTTTTTCTATAATTCCAATAATAAAGAATTCAATTGTTTCTGCCATTATTAAATTAAATGTTTGAGATCAGAAAAACTTTAATGTTCCCAGTGTGAGTATTTATGATTTGATCTGATGTCAGCCTTCACTGATAGTTTCACATTTAACTAAAAAAAAAGGTTTTTTGAATGTAAAGTTTTCTCAGAAAAAGGCAAATATGTCACAAATGCCTTGGCTTTTATAAATCTGTTTGTAAACTGATCATCTAGATTTGACATGTTTCAGGACAGTTTTGGAAGGATGACGTTTTTTTAACAGATCATCCCAGAACAAAATAAGCCACTATGAACGGATCCAGGCCCATAACCCATAATCCTCTCCATTTCCTGGTTCTGGGTTGAATCTCGATCTGTGAACTAAAAAAGTGAAAATAAAGGAAATATCCTTAGTTTTAAGATCAGTTTGTTGGCCTACAATTTTATTACTTGACTGGCATTGATGACGTATTGATGAATTTGTTTCCTGAAACTCTGGATGTCTACAAGACTGAGTCAAAAAGTCATTTGTATACTGCTTTTCCTAAAGCTTGCCTCTGATTTATGCCCTCATTACAATAATAATTAAAAAGACATTTTTTACCACAATGAATTTTAAGTGAAAGAGATACAATTGAAGTTCAGACTTCCAGCTTTAATTCAGCAGGTTAAACAAAAAGATTGCATCAAAATGTGAAGAACTAAAGCATTTTTAAGACAACATATTCATTCCAGGGGCTCAAAAGTAATTGGAAAAATTAGCTAACTGAAAATAAAATGTTCATTTCTCATACTTGGCTGCAAACCCTTTGCTGGCAATGACAGCCTGAAGTCTTAAACTCACGGACATCACCAGATGCTGGTTTCCTCCTTTTTAATGCTCTGCAGGCCTTTACTGCAGCGTTCAGTTGCTGTTTGTTTGTGGGCTTTTCTACTTTTTTCTATTCTATTCTAAATGAAAGTAAGGTCTCTGCATCATGAAGATGATTGCATCATGATTGCATATCTCATGAGGCCATCAACAGCTGTTTTTGTTTGTTTGTTTGTTTTGTTTTAATAATGAGGTTGAAGCAGCATGGTTTTGGTTTATTTTTATTATTGTGTAGTGGAGACCATTCTGACAAGAAGG